AATCTGTCGACAAAGTATTTCAGTGTGTTAGTCTGTAATAGGAAAATCCAATAAGTATCTTTAATAAAAAAATGATTGGAATTATAAAAATAAATCAAATATTTAAATCCTAGGTATATTTTTGAAGGACGTCTTATTCCATTTCATTTAATTTGTTTATATGATTTGCATTTGATTTTCATTTTTTACATTTGAGGCAATATTCTTATTTTCTACTCACAAGTAATCAGAAAAATATCAAACGAAACAAATAATATTCGATTTAATTTAAAACATAAGGGTTTAAAAAAATTGTGTATAATTTTAAAAAATAAACTAAGCTTATATCTCTTGACAATACATATAGGATAAATTTTATGGATTCACATGAAAATGTAATCAAAATATTTGCAGAATAATTTTAAACATGTGTTACTATATTATGTATTCCCCAGTAATCGGGCTTGTTTCTAGATTCATTATGATATTTTTTTTTATAGATTAGCAAAAACCCTGTGATGATATCTGCTAAATATTCCCGATTTATTCCTCTCGCAAAGATTTATCTTAGTAATTTTGCACTCATCTTAAATTTGATTATTTAGAAATTGAAGATATTCTAAATCTATTGAGTTCTCAATGATGCGTCATAATCGGCAGAATAATGATTATACTTGTTTGCTTTTCTTTAGGGACGAGCTTACTGATCAGTGAAAAAGGAAAACCAGCGACACACTTCAGGCCATAGCAGAATTAACGCTCTACGCATTTTTTCGCGTCATCCATAAAATGGCCATCACCAATAAAAGTTCAGTGTCGATAAGAGCGTTGTTGATTGTTGTTATGCGTTTGATTGGGTCAAAAACTATGTAACACCTCGAAATGTTGGTCCGACACACAGGATCTTTCTATTTCGCCGAGCGAGTCGATCTAGCTATGTATGTTGGTCCGTCGGTTAATGTTAATTTATAATCACGCTACAGGGTACAAATGTGGCACGATCATCATAAAATTTGGTTTGGTTTGTGATTTTTTTTTTTTTTTTGGACCAAAAACAGAAAATGACATGATTTTGCAGTTGATCAACAGCTAGATTTTTGGGCTGAACAGAAGCCTACAATTTGTATGGTCCACTGCCAATATTTAGCGGGTAAGTTCGGCCGGCCGATTTTGGCAATTTTTAATAAAGTAAAATCCGTTAAAAATTCTCGAATCTTAAAAATACCGAATATAGCCGTCAAATTAGGGTCTAAACGACGACGTGGACCTGCATAGGCAACTTTTGTCATAAGCTATTACAATATTCAAATGCAAAACTTGAAAAAAAAAATTGGTGAATAATGTAGCTAAAATCATCGATATTGGGAGGTACTATATGGGGGCTATACCAAAATGTGGACCTGCACAGACAATTTTCTGTCTTAGGCTGTAGTATCCATTACGAACTTTAAATACTAAATTTGAAACAATTCCGGTGAATAATATAGCTAAAATCATCAAAATACCGAATATCGGGAAGTACCGTTATAGGGGGGCTATACGAAGACGTGGTCCTGCACAGACAATTTTCTGTCTTAGGCTGTACTATCCATTACGAACTTCAAATACTAAATTTGAAACAATTCCGGTGAAAAATGTAGCTAAAATCTTCAATTCGTTCGGAAGCTAGAGTGATTTCCACAGACGGATAGACGTACAGACGGATGGACATCGCTAAATCGACATAAAATTCTATGCTGATCAAGAATTTATATGCTTTTTGGGGCCTAAAATGTATATTTCGAGGTGTTAGAAACGGAATGACAAACTAAATATACCCTCCATTCTATGGTGGAGGGTATACAAATTCGGTGAATAATGTTGCTAAAATCATCGAAATTCCGAATATAGGGGGCCCGTTATATTGGGGCTATACGAAGACGTGGACCTGCACAGACAAATTTCTGTCATGGGCTGTAGTATTCATTACGAACTTCAAACACCAAATTTAAAACAATTCCGTTGAATAATGTCGCTAAAATCATCAAAATGCCGAATATCGGGAGGTACCGTTATATGGGGGCTATGCGTAGACCTGCACAGACAATTTCCGGCATATGCTGCAGAACCCACTACCAAATTTGAAACATTTCCGGTGAATAATGTCGCTTAAGTCACCAAAATACCGAAAAAAGGGGAGGTACCATTATATGGGGGGCCATATCAAAACGTGGACCTATATCACCCATTATCAATACCAAAACTCCTGCAGACCTAATACACATTTGAGTTAAATTGTATCAATCTACTTCATTTCGTTCTGAAGCTATAGTGATTTCCATAGACGGACGGACATCGCTAAATCAACATAGAATTTTATGTATATTTCGAAGTGTTACAAACGGAATGACAAACTTTATATACCCTCCATACTATGGTGGAGGGTATAAAAATACGAAAATTGCCAATAATCCTCGAATATTTTAAATTTCTTAATGTAACGTATGTAATGTATCCGGTCAGAAGACCGTTACAATGATGCTGATAGCCAAGATATCGAAATTTTGGAGAGAGTATCCATTTGGACTTTTTGGAGAATTTCATCGTCACTGCACCTCTCATTGTGCTTCTTATGTTAACGGTGACGTGTGGCGTGAAATAACGGATATCGAGTCCATTTTGCCAGCGCCTTTAAAGTAAAGATATCAGAAAGATTGCAAAAAATAATAAAAGGGAAATATTTAGTGTCGATAAGACTTTGTATGTCGTTGTATATTGTCGGTATAGCTTGACGTACCATCTATAGATATATTTTTTGTGTACAAAAGATCCGTATTCACTGAATTGAAATCTTATAGAAAGTTTTTTATAGGTAGACGATCAATGAAAAATGGGTATGAATACCATCTGTAAGTCTTCCATACATAAATGCCCTTTATATGGAACCTTTTGTCTTCTACACATATACGATTTTTTCAAAGAGCTTACACAAATTCAAGTCATGTTTGACTTCTATGCCCAGAAAACTATGAAAACTTTATTTTTATACCCGCCACTTTTTCAAGGAGGGTATATTCAATTTGTTATTGCGTTTCCACTTTTTCGTATTTTAGCCACTTGTTTCCACGGATTTGTCTAAAAATTGGTATTTGTAGTTCGTTATGGGTTCTAGCTCCAGTGGCAGAACAATGTATATGTGAGGCCACGTTTTCCACGCACATATAACGGTACCGCTTGGCATTCGGGATGATGTGAGCTGCATTTTCGAATGGACCGGTGCACAATTTGGTATTTGCAGTTAATAATGGATTCCACAACCGGTGTCAAAACATTGTCCATTGTTTCCATACAACGGCATCCATCGATATTAGTTATTTTGATAAACCTAGTCACATTTACCCACAGAATTGTTTACAATTTGATACTTAAGACTCGCAATAGATACAAATCTTAATAGTATAAAATTATCTATATTGGTGCCCGTTTTGGTATGGCCCCATAAATCGGCTCCACCCACTTTATTTATCTTTTTTAACTTTACCGCATTCTCCAACCGATCTTTAAAGTGGAATACGTTTGAATCCAGATACTTCTATATAAAAAAGTTTTCATTAGATAATGGTAGAGGGTATATAAAGTTCGGCATGGACGAACTTAATGTTTTGTTACTTGTTTAAATTATATTTAAATAAGAAAGCATTTGTTTTGTTTATTTTTTCATGAGAATCATTTCTTTATTATTTTTTTTTAATTTTCCAATTTTATTTAACAAATTAATATTAAATATAAAAAAAATCTCTAAACGAACCAACCTAAGAGTTCATTGTAATTTATTTGAATACATAAACTAAAATAAAATTTGGTAAGAATACACACACATTAATATATACATACGTATCTATTTGAAATAATTCCAGAGACATGGAAAAGTGTTTTTTTTTTGGCAAAATATTCGATAAAGAAATGATAAAACCATCCCATAGAATTATAAACATCGCAAATATGTCAAGTCTAATGGAGAAAACTAATGGGCAGAATATCCCAGACAAAAAACAAGGGAACTGATGAGGATTGGTGGCTCTTTCCGAAACCTAGGTATTCCCTGTCTTACACCCTGGTAAACATTACCATCGTTCTCCACTAATAAACAAACATTGTTTTTAATAAAAACAACAATAATGGAATTAAGCCTAACTATTTTGCAACAGCAAAATACTATGGTATTCCGAACAAACATGCCAACACTGTTCTGAAATCTATAAACTCTTTTAAGCTGAAATAGCCAATTCCGTTGATAATGTTACTTAAAACATCAAGTACCGTTGTATGAGAGCTATACGACAACGTAGACCTATATAGACCACGTTCTGCCATCCCATTACACACTCTAAATAACGAATTTAATATAATTCTATTATATAATATGAGGTAAGAGGGATACTTGCTATCATGAACCAATATTGCAAAAAATTGGACCTGCGTAGACAATTTTCTGTTTGTAGTTCCCATTAGGAACTCTAAATACAAAATTCGAAATAGTGTCCCTAAAATTTGTAAAATCCAAATTAGAAAGAACTGCTAGCATGGATTTTTAGACAATTCCATTAAAAAATATAGCTAAAATCATCAAAATACCGAATATAGGGAGGTACCATTATATGGGGGATACACGATATCGTGGACCTATATATACAATACTCTTCCAGGGCATAACATACCCAGAAGAACTCCTTTTGTGGATTTTCAGACAATTTCATTGAAAATGTTAGCTACAATCTTCAAAACACGGAATATCGGGGGTACAGTTATGTGGGAGCTATACGATATCGTGGACTGACATAGTCCTTCTTCGAACTTCACCTGCCTGTAGACAAAAGACTGATCTGTGCAAAACATTAGCTTCCTATCTTTATTCGTTTTTACTCTACCGTGATCAAAACAAACAGACAGGAGATTTTTACGCTGATCAAGAATATATACTTTATTATGTCTGAAATTATTATTTCGACGAGTTACAAACGGAATGACGAACTTAATATACCCTCCATACTATGTATGGTGGAGGGTATAAATATATTTTTTTTCTGATTTGTGTGTGTCTGTAACAGCAATCTATGTTGCATTGTATTGTAGAAGATTTGGAAAGTGGGGGGGGGGGTGATCCTGCGCACAAAAATACACTTACATACATAGAATATATGGTATATAACGGTATGACAAAAACTAAAAAAGTGCTCGGTAAGAGTAGATTCCACTCGATTTTGAACGAATTTTGCTCCCACTCAAAAGCAAAGACAATATCCACAATCATATTCGAGCGACATCGAAAATTGAATTTGCTTATTTTTTCTGCTCTCAGGAGTACTCTCCTTCGAAATGGAGTTAGTTTCAATCTCTGTAGAAATTCGAGCGAGTTCTTCGGATGTCTGTTTATTTTTATAAAAATGAGTTTAAGTCACTTTCGCTATAAACAAAACCAATCTATACGCCATGCCCTTTTTTGTATGAATTTTTAGGCTAATTTAAAAATTATCCTGAGTATGGATTAAAAAAAATTGAAAAACTACCAATGAATATGAAATGTACTAAATTGTATGTTTATAGTGAATATATGCCAAAAATAACTCTTCCATGTCACTTAGAAGCAAACTAACCTAAAAATTGTTGTATATAAAAATATAAAAACAAAAAATCAACTAAAAAATTTATTTTAAATAAATATATAAGTAGTTTAATTATTAAGATAAAATATTTAAGTTTTTTTAACATAAATTAATAAAAAAAATTGAATTATTGTAATTTAAAAGAATATATTATTCGAGCTGCTTCATGTGTCTATGTGTATGTGGATGGGTGTGCTTGTGTGGGTGGCTGATAAATGCAAATATTTCGATTACATTTTCGAAATGCCTTGAATTTCGTTTCTTTTCTTTTATTCGTTTTACATTCTACAATCTTAAAAATTAGAATAAGTATATTACAAAATTTCAAATTAAATTCAAGTTTTATAATTATCGTTTAAATATATGTATATTATTTAGCATTTTACTAAAACTATTATCATTTTATTTTCAGTATTTTCTTTTTTTCCTTCGGGTTTTCAATAAATACAATGTGGGGCTGGTCTGTTTTTTTTTTTTTTTTTGGGACGTGATGCTTAAAATTACAGTTAAGTCTAGCTTAGAGGGTATGGAATTATATTTCAATTTTATGTTTTTGTTTTATTTTTATTTTCTTTGCAATATTTATCAAGAAATATAACATTTTTTTGTTGCTGTCTGTCTGTCACAATATATTTTATTTTTTGTTTTTAACTTATTTATTAGGATAATATGTTTGTTGTTAAATAAATTAGTTTTTTTCTGCATTCTTGTTTCTTTCTTGCTTGAAATAAACTCCAAAAAATAATTATTGTGAGTGGTTTTTATAAGCTAATTTTTAAATTTAAGCTTTTCCTTTATGTATCTTAAACGAAATTCAAATGTTATTAAAAATTAATAAATTTCCTTACATAATTTTCTTTGTGTGAGTGTTGTTTTTTACATTTTAAATTTAGTTTTGCAAAATAAAATAATAAACTAAAAATTGTCCATAGAGTAAATTAGAATTATTTACACGTATGCTCCTCAATCACTTTCACACAAACATCACATTTAACTTGACAACACCAATGGAACTTGCAATTGCATCGTTCTCGCACCACAATATTTTTGGTATTATAACCCCGGCCGCAACACAGGATACCACAGCCATCCAGGCCATTTGATGTCTTGTTACAAACTCGACCATGTGTTCCTTTGAAAGAGAAGACCACAATAAATAAGTTTTTCCTATTGAGGATTTCCAAATTCTGATACACTTACCCGGCCATTGTAGCTGTTTGTTACTTCGACACCAATCAGGACTTTCATCCAAATACACCAAATCATGGGCTGTGGGTACTTTAAATTGTGGATCCTTGACTTGTAATCGCCCACGTTTGTTTAGTTTCACCTCTGTGGATTCTTCGTATTTTTCACGCAAATAGTCACCTAAGGGATGATGGAAATAAACGAGGTAAAATTAATAGCTGTTCGAAATGTTGGTAATGCCGTTAAAATGGCTAGCCAAGACATAAATCATTATTTTTAGTATGAACCCTAAAAATATGCATAATAAATGTACAAAATATAAAAGTTGGATTTTTTAGAGTGCATTATAAATGTCGATAAGACCGTGTAAAGTAGGCGGAGTTGCCATTATTCGTTTTGCTAGATAAAAAGTACCAAATTTTGGTCGGGTTGCAAAAGAACAGAATTGCAATTGTATAAAAATTTTGTTTGAAAAAATCTATCTTTGTATTCATGAATTCAAAAGGGATCATCTTTTTGAACACTTATTTTTACAAAAACATACTTCCTCAGAATATCTGAGAGTATACCTTCCACAATAAGATATAGAGTACATTAACTTGGCTATGCCACATGATTTTTGGTTTTTCAAAAATGCAAATCACTTTTGACAAAATTAGAAGTAATTTTCCAAAACGGGTTCCCTGAGGATATATTTTTTCCTTGCAAAAAAAAAAAAAAAAAAAAAAAAATCAGTGTTGGTTTATTTTTTCAAAGAGAAATACTCTCAGAAATCCTTTTAGGTATTGCAAAAGTTTCGGTACCGTTTTCCAAGCCACTCAGCTTCAATTTAACATATCAGTTCTTAATGGGTAGATCAAACATTCTCAAACAACAATCAAGGCCCATGATTGATCAGCTGTATTTTTCTTGTTCGGGTTCTTTGAAAAAAAGGCAATATAGGCATAGCTCCCATATAACAGAAATTTCAATTTCTTAGAATTTGGTTATAAGTTCTTTCCAGCCGAATTGGTTCTATTTTTGCACTTTTTTTAATGTGTTTCATTTTGGGGGGCGCAGAAATGTGTTCAGGAACCTGTATATTAAAAACATTAGGGGTGAGGTTTTTTCTCAAGGCGCTTGAAAATAAAAAACTTCGCACTTCGGAAATGTGTCTAAGGCTTCGAAACCAAATTAAATCGATGGGCATATAAAGCGCCTGTCTTTGCTGGAAAAATTAAAAAATATACCTATTTATAACAGCTACAACCTTCAAAATACGGAAAATTAAAGATGGTGCTATATATATATATAAGAACGAGCCTATGTATAATATACCCTCCACCATAGTATGGAGGGTACATTAAGTTTGTCATTCCGTTTGTAACACCTCGAAATATACATTTTAGACCATAAAAAGTAGATATATTCTTGATCAGCATAAAATTCTATGTCGATTTAGAGATGTCCGTCCGCCTATCCGTCTGTGGAAATCACTCTAGCTTCCGAACGATATGAAGTAGATTGATAAAATTTTACTAAAGTGTATATTATGTATGCAGGACTTTTGGTATTGAAAATGGGCCATGTAGGTCCACTTTTTAGTATAGCCCCCATATAACGGTACCTCCCGATATTCGATATTTTGATGATTTTAGCGACATTATTCACCGAATTGTTTCAAATTTAGTATTTGAAAGGTCGGTCGGGCCGAACTTACGGCTTTTTTTCTTGTTTTATTTTCGGAATAATACATTTCACTCACTATATGAAAACGTGAACCTTTACAGCCAATTATATGCCAGGGAAGGAGTTACCTATAAAGAACTCCAAAGAAAACTGGTAGCTAATATCATCACAATATTGGGTCAACTCCAAATACCAAATTTGAAACAATTGCGGTGACAAAATACCGAATGTTAGGAGGAACCAATATATATGGGTATTATATGAAGATGTGGCCCTGTACAGGATATTTTCTGTCATAGGACTTCATTTCGTTCGGAATCTAGCGTGAATTCCGCAGAAGGACGGACATTGCCAAATCCACATAGAATGTTATGGCGATAGAGAATATGTACACTTCGAGTTAAGTAAAATGTATACTTCAAGGTGTTGCAAGTCCAACAAGAATCTTAGTGGAGGGTACGAATTAAATATTTTGGACTGTACACTAAAAATCATAACAAACACATTTTTGTCTTTGAATTATAAATAAAATGGTTAAAAATTTGACAAACAGAAAGTTTTCGATTTTTCTTTTTATTTATGAACAAGACCAAAAACAAGTTGCCTGTGGTAATATTTTGGAGACCAAAGGGTTAACTTCCGTTCTATCCGGATTAGTTAAATACTAAATTGGCAACATTTTCCAACTTCTCAACCAGTTAATTTAGTGCGGACTACGATTGAATTGTACGATAAATCTTAACTCAGCGGAGATATGCACACAACCTGTATTATCCTTATCAAAGACATGCACCTCGAAGCAATGTAACATATCGATAAGATTGTATTGTTTCTACACTGTGTTATCCTCATTTATTTATGTTAAGTAACATAATATGAAAGTGTTATACAAATGTTTATAAAAGAGTTAATCAACAAAAAACTGTTTTAATTGGAAATCTTAGGAATTTTGCCGGTAGTACACTTTAATTTGATTTCGTATGAAATTATACCTAATGACTTTATAAATACCCCCTAACATTTCCTTTTCACTTCAAGATTACTTAAAGGACATTTTGTATCTATTAATTTTCGATGTGTTGCATCCAGTATGGCATAAATTCCACGAAACCCCCTACTGTTGTTATATTACTAATTGTAAATCACTAAAGTATTCTCTGGAAATTGTCTGCTTAATTGGCAACAGAATGACATTCTGTTTATTTTAATTGACATTGTCCCTCTAACATTGCCCTAACAATTTGAGGAATTTCCTGCTCCTTCTTCTTCTGCTTCCTATCAAAATATGCAAATAGATGTGGGTCAGTTAACTTTTAAGTCAGCAACTGCAGCAGCATGAAATGCATCTCAATATCCATAGTTTGTCATTACATTGCTGCATAATTTAATGGTTCGTTGGTTGGCTGCCTTCCTGCCACACTCACACACCGACACACACACACACCCATAAAAACCGCAAAAACTTACCAATTTCTCTTATCGATGACAACTGTTGCCAACAGGTTATCAAACTACATGAACCGGAAACGCCATGACATTTACATGTTATGCGGGTCTTCTTAATAACCGCCTGCAAAAAAACGAAACGAAAAAAGAAGAGAAAATTCAATAACAAATTAAATTTATGTGAATATTTTTGAGACTAAAAAAAGTATCCGTTTTATGAGTGAAAGGAAAGAAGAACGAAAAGAAGCAAGGAAATCAAAGAAGAGAATTTTTCGCTAAACTTGCATAAAATAAGTTTATAATGGTGGAATTTTTGCTTTCTTCTGCATTGTTTTAAAAGATGTATTTCATGTTGGCTATTATGGAAGGAAATTTATGGGTATGCAAAAAATCTGGAAGCAAAGATTTAGGGAAAATGTAATTTTTCTTTTGATTTTTTTTTGCTTGTTCGTTCAAATGTAAATTGGAGAGTGGAAAATCTGCACAAATAGAGTAAATGCAGTCGTTTCATTTATGACACTTTAATGCGATTTGATTTTTACACCCTCCACCATAGTATGGAGGGTGTATTAAGTTTGTCATTTCGTTTGTAACACCTCGAAATATACATTTTAGAGCCCACAAAGTATATATATTCCCGATCAGCATAAAATTCTATGTCGATACTACGATGTCCGTACGTCTGTGGAAATCATTATATCTTCCGAACGAAATGAGTTATAACTGCAGGGCTTTTGGTATTGAAAATGGGTCATGCAGGTCCACGTTCGGTATTTTGATGATTGTAGCGACTTTGGCATTTGAAGTTCGGAATTTATTTAGATTTACGGAATTAAGAAAAAATCGTCGTGAAGTTTAAAAGTTTTGAATTACTTTTAGTGCAAAATTTGATAACATTCGGAGGTTTCTAGTAATAGTTTATCAAAGGTACTAGCAAATGGCGCAACTTCGTATGCGGAATATGCAGTTTATATTAAGAGACTTGGAGACTCGCAACTCCCAACTGGTAGCGTAGCCCGAAGTCAAGGAAGTGGATGGAGGACAAACAGCAACATCTGCAGAAATGGTACAAAAAGCAAAGAAGCGACTTGATCGAAACCCTCGTCACAGTGGCCGAAAAATGGCTCGTGAGCTGAACATATCGCAATATTCCATTTCATAAAAATTAAAAAAAGGATTACCCCGAGACATTGAAATTCTAAAAAGTGGAATACCTTACACCGCTACGGAAAGAAAATAGACTCAAAAGACCTGAAGAGTTGATTCGCTTGGTCGAAAGGGCGAGCAGTTTGTAAACAAACAAAATTATAGTGTGTACTTGCCAAAGAGGTCAGCTGAAAATGAGGACATTCGGTTGGCCACCAGAACTCAAGCGCCGGCCATGGTGATGGCGTGGGCAGCCATAACAGCTGATGGTCGTTCTGTTCGCATTAATCGACCGTAGCATCAGAATAAATGCCGAATATTATCGCGAAAATATTCTGGAGGGTGTTTAAAGGCCTTGGGCACGCAAACCTTTTGGCCGCAGACCTTGGACATTCCAACAGGAGGTTCCTGTTGGAATGTCCAAGGTCGCAGTGGCCGAAAAATGGCTCGTGAGCTGAACATATCGCAATATTCCATTCCACAAAAATTAAAAAAAGAAGCTCGGGGTAAAGCCATTGAAATTCTAAAAAGTGGAATACCTTACACCGCTACGGAAAGAAAATAGACTCAAAAGACCTGAAGAGTTGATTCGCTTGGTCGAAAGGGCGAGCAGTTTGTAAACAAACAAAATGATCGTGTATACTTGCCAAAGTGGTCAGCTGAAAATGAGGACATTCGGTTGGCCCCAGAACTCAAGCGCCGGCCATGGTGATGGCGTGGGCAGCCATAACAGCTGATGGTCATTCTGCTCTCATTAATCGACTATCAGAATAAATGCCGAATATTATCGCGAAAATATTCTGGAGGGTGTATTAAAGCCTTGGGCACGCAAACATTTTGGCCGCAGACCTTGAACATTCCAGCAGGAGGTTCCGCGCTTCATTTCCAGCGCACAACGGCCACCAAGGTTGGCACTAAAAAGTACAAAAGTGTCGATCACCTCAAGCAAGCGCTTCGCCGGAAATGGGCCAAAATGCCGCTGAGCAACATTCGGGCAGCGTGTGACGGTTTCATTGGCCGTTTAAAGGCCATAATTCATGCCAAAGGTGACCAATTTGAACAAATCTAAACTTATTGTAAAATTTAATGCTATTTTCGACATTTTTTGCTTTCATTCAATAAAATTAAAAAAAGTAGAAATTATGGCGTTTGACTTTGTGGGAGTTTTTTTTTTATCTCACCCTGTAGTACAGATAAGTACAAAAAATCATACATACATACAAAACTACCTACATTCCTTTGTCCTGCAATGCAATAGTAATTTTATTTATAAATTTCAGGTTACAAACTCTATTGGCTCTTCAAAAAATTTAAATTGTACCAAATTTTGTACCATTTATACAAATAAGTACGAATTTACAAAACTACCTCTATTCCTCAGTCCAAAAACGTAATATTAATCTTATTTTTAAATTTCAGAATTCCATCTCTATCGGTTCACCCAAATCAAAATTGTACCAAATTTAGTAATATTTGGTACTTTTCGTGCACATAAGTAAACAATTCTAAAATTACCTCCATATCCCAACGCTATACTCTGCCACTAATTTTAATTTCAAATTTCAGGATTCCAGCTCCATCCCTTCCCTCAAATTCAAATTGTACTAAATTAAGTACCGTTTAATACTTTTCGTATACATGATTACACACTTCCTACCTCTTTACATCGACTCTACTTCTCAACCTCGAATTCCATTCAAAATTTCAAGTTTTTAGGTCTCACCATTCACATTTTACTATTTTTCGTACACTTATAGAGCGAATTTTCTAAAATCCCTTCGGTACATCTATCATTCACTCCATTAGTGACCCTCATTCCAAATTTAAGAGTTCTAGCTCTAATGCCTCCTCAAATACTTTCGTACCGTTCTAGTACGAATTTCCCAAAACCCAACTTTATCTGACCCCTTCGGACCAAGGGTGACCCTTACTCAAAATTTTGCAGATTCTAGCTTCATCCGTTTCGTCTGGGCGTTGATGAATTGTTAAGTCAGTCAGTCAATTTCTTATTTTTTATGTAGTGCTGGTCCCTTCCGTTATGGCAACCTGTATAAAACCTGCCATCCCACCAAACAATCTAAGATCACTATCTTGGCAACATTGATTCATATTCACAATTCATTATGACCATTTACAGTTCGGACAACTTTCTCTCAAAGTTCACATGCATTTGTGGAAAAAAAGAATGTTTCCCTCCCTCTCCTGCAAAAGTATTAAAGTCCAATAAAGGAGAAAATGCGTTTGCCATTCATGCTGTTCTGGTGATTTCATTTTCAAACTGTGTGATAGTTTTATCAATGGCATTTTCCCATTTTCCTCTCTTTTTGTTCTACATTAAACTATCGTCTCGCTTGTAAGCGTTTACGACAAATGTCAAAGAAATATGAAATCCTAGGGAAATTTATGATTTCGTTTTTGTTTTTGCTCTTCAGTACCGAAAGACTCAGACATGCATACCGCCATACCGAAAAATAACAATCTATGCATTTTTGCGAGACAATATGCAAGGCATTTGTAAAACTTCATTGCCATACCACACCAAGGGTAACAGAAAGTGGTGATTTTTTTCTTCCACATCCACAAAGATTCTTTCTTTCGATTTTCTTTGAAACAAATAATCGGTAGAAGACAGGGCAAGAACAAAAATGCATTGAAAAGACATTGTCAGGGTTGAATGGTTGGAAAATAGCTAAGAAATGACAATGGAATAAAAAAAAGGAGAGCGGAGCAAAAAATGTTGGCCAAAAATGTGAAATATGGATTTTACTTTTTGTGTCTTACTCAGTTTTGGAAAAAAAAGAAAGAAAATGTTACAGTTACAGATGGCATAGCAGAGAGGGATGAAGAACAAGTCTGTGAAAAATATTTGCAATATCTGAGGAGACAAAAGAATATATGTAGTATTTGGAAACCATTTGGCTAGAGTGCTGCTCTATGCTGCTACGTGTTTGTCAGCATGTTAGGGAATTTATATATTTTTTTTTCTATTTTTCAAAAAAAAAAAAATATATTTAGCAGTCAACATGTGATTTGGTAGGCAAAGGGTGCAAATGCTCAACTTTATTCATTCGTTCTTGTATACATACTCTGTCTGCTCTTATGGCGTAGACACGCTTGTCTACAAACCAATATAATTGAAGCCATTGAATATCCTTTAAGCTTGAAATGAACGCAAATGTTGCATAAAAGAACAACTTAATACGTTTGGGTGACAAACATTTGAATGCGAATGAAATCACATTAATAAGTACTTGGGTAATGTGAATTTATTTCACCAACACGCACACACACAGATTTACACTTTTTTCCACAATGTGTGATGAGGGGGGGTGTAAGGAAAGTAATATTTATGTACTCGTGTATATAAATATGTATCGACGACAGTAAAAGACTGCATTGATGTGAGGCAGATTTACATGGGTGATAGGCATTGCACGAGGAAAACTAAATTGGAAATTACAAGAAAATCGACGGAAATTTTATTGAAAATTGAAAAAAAAAACATAGAAACTGAAAATAACCTAAAACAAAGACATATGACTATAAAGATTGGACAAATGCATAAGGAACTTGAAAATTTGCAAAAACAAAAAAAAAAAAAACGTGGAAATATACCTCTCAATTTAAACCCCTTATATGGGGGCTATACAAAGACATGGATCTGCATACGAAATTTTTACGCATAGGTTACGCATAGGTTGCATTAAATTTTTTGTCATAGGCTGTAGCACCCATTACGAACTTCAAATACCAAATTTGAAACAATTCCGGTGAATAATGTCGCTAAATTTATCAAAATACCGAATATCGGAATGTATCGTTATATGGGGGATATACGAAAACGTTAACCTACATACGATTTTTTTGTCATAGGGTGTAGTACCCATTAGGAACTTTAAATACGAAATTTGTTGCAATTCCGGTGAATAATGTCGCATAAATAATAAAAATGCCGAGTATTGCTAGGTACCGTCATAT